ATCTATCTATCCATCCATCCATCCATCCATCTACTTTTCTTCATCCATTTTCTTGTCCACCATTTTGTCCCTAATTGTCCCACTTCTCCACATCGCTGTATCACACACTCTTGCAGATATTTCAAATCCTTTGTGAGTGTGTATTGCATGCCACCTCAATAAAACCAGTCTCTAAAGATAACACCTGATAACCTTTTAAAGTAAAGACAAACAGGCAAGTTCCGTCCGTGGCGTGGGACGATGTTATTTAGCCTTAAGCTTCATTGTTAGTCAAGAACCATTACTTGATAAACAAATCAAAACAGCTCAATGCTAGGCTATTGCACGTAAATCGCAATTCCTCAAGGGACAATGGCCATTGTTTTTTCTAATCATTATCCTTATCCTTAGCTAGATTGCAATCGTTCTTTCTCTTTATTGGAGTATACTGGATCGAGAGAAAAAAATCCGAACAATGAGTAATGATATATCAATAAAGTTAGGTATTTCATTGTTATTAAGAACGTCCATTTCTATTGTTCTCGAAAAGGCCTTCAGAACATTCTTTACAACAAGCTGTCAACTTAGTGGCAAACAATCCATTACCTTCTAACGCGGGCGTGCTTAAAGTTTGATCAAGAAAAAATACTTTCAAAAATTGGTAAATATGGGGAAAAACTCTGCTAAAAAAAGGAATTCTTTAGATGATTGTCAGTATTTTTTAGTCCAAATTTCGCTTTGTAATTGTGTTATCTATGGAATATTCTACGCAGGTTTTTGTCGTCATGATTGATCTTCAAACATAGTTTATCGTCTGACTGGTTCCTGTGGCTGAAAGAAGATGCGTCGGAGAGCGGCTCATTCAGACACAGTGACTATTTTTGGCACATATGTCTAGTCTTGGGAATTCATTAAATCTCTGTGTTTTTCTGTTCTGACCTTCATATCTGATAAACAATTTCAGGTACGAGAGTAGTACAGTTCGAGAGAAGAGCTGATAGAGGTGTATAGCACGAAGCTTGAAGAACAGCCTTGGAAAGAGAGTAAAGTGTCTTCCTTAACAGTGAGGTATTGTATGTTTCTATTTATGTAAAACTATTCCGATTCAAACCTTTAAAATGGTGGAACGGTTCCTTTTTTGCTCAGTTTTAAAACAAGCTAGTGGCTTGGCCATTTTAAATCAAAAATTCCTTAGTTTCAAGCTGTTTTGGTTCTTTGGTTCTGCAATCACGAGACAAGAGCGTGACTCATTCAAAAGGTTTTTATCGGCTATTTTACGATGTGTAGTCAATTGCAACAAGTATCAATAGCTTCAAGGCCACGGGTTGGAACTCATACGAGTGATAGTAATGGTAGTCGTATTGATGATGGAGTAATTGTGTGTGTGTGTAGTGCGTGGGTGGCGGATGGGAATACTGAAAACGTCTCCTCAAAGGTACGCACAAACCTTGCGTAATATTGATCGCTTATGAACAGCACATAAGGTTAGAACATTGGTTTGATTCATAACGAAAAATGTACCTAAGACAACAATGGCTGCTCATTAAGAAAATAGCACGTCGTACTGAAGAAGTCAAGAAATAATTTCCACGTGACAATGATGACATGAAACGCATCCCCTTTCCTCCACACATCTTTCTCTCTCCTTTGTTCCAATTGCAAATAAGGTACATCCTATGCTGTAGTCAAAAAGCTGAAGTTATGACTCGAGGCCTTCATCAGGATCTTTTTACGAGTTGCAGCAAAACTGATGATGAAACTACCGAGACGGATCAACGCCCCTCCCTCCCCACCCCCCTTGCTCCAAATATGCTTAATATAAGTCTCACAGCTCATTCAGGACAATTGAGACTGTGCTATCTGTAGTCAAAACACCATTAGTGAATGTCTCCCAAGTAATATCAAGTGCTTACTTATACCCTTGTCGCATTCTCATATCTATATTGTTAATTGATGGCGGTTTATGGAACATTCTAGATTTGTTAAAAAGACAAAACAAAACCAGGTTACACCTAGTTAAAAAATGATGGTCTTTATTGAATACCACACATTTAAAAAGCGCTGGATAGAAGATTAACTCTATTTTTAACTCAAATATTAATTTAGTACCTTATAAACCCAAGGTGTTACGAAAGGCATTAACAGGACGACCTCAGGTTGTAAATTTTTTTAAAAGCTTTTACTTTTGATCTACATTAGACCTTGGAACATTGGTGTTTGACACTAAGCCCCAAGGACCCAACACGAACTTCATAGCTGTTAACTGCCGTGCAATGGGATCGAGTTCTAGTTCCAAGCTGTGAATAGTCTGAATATAATTCCGAAGTAAACAGTTAAGTCTAAAGAATCAAGGGAACATAGTTTGTACCCTAGTGCGCTTGATTCCTTGATAACTTTTTAAGTACTGAATATGGAACATGTTTTGATTTCTCACTACCCCCCTCCCACATACACACACACACACACACACACACACACACACACACACACACACACGCAACAACTCCATTAAATCGAAATAAAATAATAGAATCAATGAGCAATATTAAAGAAAGCCTGGTCCAAATTTAAGAGCAGAATATGCGAGACAAAGAAACAAATACAAGGGAGATAACAAGACACATCGTCTCGTGTCTTCATCACGGTCATTCTTCTAGTGTCATAGCCAAGGATGTGCTCTGGGTGTCTAGTTGTTCTTATAACTATGCGAGTCATAGTAAGCCTACAGTTCTACTGGAAGCTTATAGGATGATGAGTCTTCCCACTTATTTTGTTCGCTTAATAAAACATCCTAGAGTGCTATAATATAGAAAGTAGGCATGCTCTCCTGAACGTTTAGTAACTTGTCAACAGACAGCGAAACAGTCTAGTTAAACAAAAGGTGAAAAACGAATCCAAAATAAGTGTCGCTTTGCGCCTCTTGTGGGAGTTGGTAGAACTTTTCATGTTTACTAAGCAATCAAGTTAGTCTCGGGCTATAATTGAGCTACCACAAGCTTTTAAAAAAGCCTGTGTTTGTACTAATCAGCCGTCTGACACCACAACAATACGCATATTTGCATAGTCTAGACTTTTATTACCCAAGAAAAGCCCATACATGACACGGAAAGCAGAAATAACTAAGGGTTAGAAAGCCATGTAAGTGTTGGAATTTTTATCGCAAATATTTGGTCATCAGGCGGCTATTCTTGGCGCCTAGTACTACTTGTGCAGGTCTTGCTTAATTTAAGGTAAACTTATTAATCTGAACCTTGCGCCCGCCATGATCCCACGAAAACCTAATCCAATCGGACCAAATGCATGGGGCGGAAGTGGACTTGTGGCTCGAACGTAAACGCAACAACTCGATTATCAGCACATTATCTAGACAATACCACATTCCTTGCTCAAAGATAAATCTAATGACCTGAAACAAAAAGAGAGAGATAGAGAGATAGAGAGAAAAGAGGCTATTTTTGGAATGCAATTGTCAAACGACTGCCACTGTGGAATGCTCCAAATGACGTAAACCAGTTGCGATGACGTCAACAGACTACACAAATGACTTCATCCAGAGGGAGTTCTATCTATGCCACATTAAGAATAAATAGTGAAAATAGATCGATATTATTATTTTTAAATATCCAAAACGAATCTTTATTTTAGTGCAAGCATTTGGCTTCCTGTAAAATGAGTCTAATGCATTCTGTGAAGGAGCGGAGGTCGCACCGTTCGCTTGACAATCAAGTTCGTGTCTGTAGCGACGTCAGTGCTGAGCAGCGAGTGACCCTCTGTCATTCGCGTGTCTTAATTAACGGCCGTGAACACCAGTCCGCATTCAAAATTACGAGACATGCACAATGTTTTATGGTTTTCTTGTTATTTTACTCGTAAATTTAGCATATCATTTTAGATGCGTCAGGCCATGTCATGCATTTTCTGCACAGCATTACCGGTAACTCATAACAACTTGAACGCAAGTTCTAAAATAACTCATTTCAAAGCTATGCATTTACAGCGCTTCTCAATCACCAGAATAGAGTTTTGGTGGACGCCAATCACAGTGTTTTCCAGCATTGTCGGAAAACACAAAGCTTTTAAGGGCACGTGCCTATGGAATGCCATGGAAACGCATTGATTGACGTCCACCAAAACTTACTTCATCACAATGGCAAATTGTACGATTTCACGCGTGTGATTGCCAAGCGCTGTAAAAGCTTAACGGCGCTGGTGACGTAATGTGAATTCCAAAATGTTCCTTTTTTGAATATTTATTTTTTTCCTTTTCTAGTAGGTTCAGAAATGTTTTTTTCTTACATCGGCACCGTGTTTGGGATTACAGTCCTTCAACTGTTATCACAAAGCTCCGTCCATGGTAAGTATATTATCCAATAATCGATAATAGTCTTAAACAGCGGCCGCCGAGGCAAGGCTGGCTTTATTGGATTCGATTCCGGAAAGTGAAGCTTGCGACATTAGCCACACAAATATATTCTTCAAAAATTTAAAAACATATATTATGAGAAAGGAGAAATATGACTGCGCAAATGAAAAAGAAAGAACAACAAAAAAAGAAAAGAAAAAAAAAGGGGAAAAAAAAAAAAAAAAAANAAAAAAAAAAAAAAAAAGAAAGAAAGAAGGTAAATAAGAGAAAATAATGCAAAAGCTCTTCCAGTGTTTGCATGGGGTGTCTTGAGGGGAATCGTGCAGACCGGACCGATCCATTATCGGTGAAAACACGAACAAGTGTTATAATTCTCTTCCTCTAGAGGTTGTTTGTTCCTCTGTAAATGTTCTCATTGACTTCAACATTTCCTGCTCAACCGTCTGACCCTTTAAATACTCATAATCCTTACACAGGTTGGAGGGTATGGTCGGCGGGAGGCCTTGTCTTATTCTTCTACGCAACAAATTGAACTAGGAATGCTAAGATAATTGGGTTTAATAAACGATATCATTAGCAAATCACGCGCGGTAGATAGAGAACAAAGGTCTCTTTACTCGACAAACGTCGCGCAGAATCGACTGAGAGTGTATATCAGTATGTTTAGGAGAGGCCAGCGGTAGTCACGTGAGCGGTTCGTATGTTGCGAGCTGGTTCGATTACGTCTCCAGCTGTCCCCGACTGAATCGGTAAACAAGAGTCTCCAGTGTCCTAATAATCTATAAAAAGACTGTCTGCGCTATAATCGTCCTTGTTGACTCCGGTCCTTCGTGTCTTGGTTGGTAGTTTGAGAGTTGACCAAGCAGGGACACGGAAATACTCCCTTACAAGTGAATCAAGTTGCTGGGCTAAAGTAGTGAATAAATCCTCATTGCGCGCTTGATTTCCCGGGCTGGGCGGTCTTGGAAGCAATCAAGAAATTACTTTCCGTGTTGATTGAGCATTCGTTTGTCATCGCTTGTCAGCGCCTTGACGACATGCGTTCGTGAGCAAGTGCGACTTAGTTCTCATTCTTCCTGTATTACTATCCCACAACATTGCTTTGCTATTGAGGAAGTTCTGTCCTATGGCGTTATATTCCCGACAAAATTCAACATCAGGCTTTCAACATTCTTATAAAGAATTTAGTGTTTCACTTGCAATGCAATATTGTTAGTTGCTTTTCCGACATTGAAGATTTCGATTTCAACTTAGCCGTAATCTCGTCCAACATTCGAATTCAACGATTGAACATTCGTTAATAGCTTTCCGTGTCTGGACAAAATTCAACATTGCTCTTTTGACATACACCAATTTCAACATTCAACTTTGAGAACGTTATTTTCTAAACCGTATATTAAAATGAACCATTCGGAGTTTCTCGTTCAAGGACCAAGGTTTTAAAGTTTTTAGATACAAACGCATAGTCTTTCCGTCATTGATGGGTTACAATCCAACATTCATGTTCTACCATTGAACTTCACGCACGAGTGCGTTTGACCTATGCCATAGTAAGCCGCTGTACAGTGATGACGTGGGCTCATCACAGGCAACCCATGCAGTGTGAAATATTGATTCCAATATGGCGAACTCTTATCTCGAAGCTCGTCGTATCATTCTACAGACAATTTCCGATTTAGATAACCGAGACAACACGCAAGAAAATGATGGAATTGTAATGAGACTCGATTATCTTTGCCGATCTCTCACAAACATCGATACAACCTCTGCATCTCAAACAGATGCCATCGTTCATTCGATCGAAGAAGCCAGGAGTTGTTTAAAATCTGGTTGTCATGAAGGCAGCGAATCCACTGTCAATCGCGCTCGTGGCCGGCCTGCGATTGATATCAAATGCGATCAGCTAAGTTTCATGGTGGAAAATGGATTCAAGGTACCAGAAATGGCCCAACTCTTTATGGTTTCAACTCGCACAATAGAGAGGAAAATGTCGAAGTATGGTCTTTCCATTTCAGGTAAAGCTTTCGTACAGTTTATTTATTTTTATTTAATTTTTTTTGTTCTCTTTTAATTCACAAAAAAA